TGCTGAGGCAAATGGCTGCAGCATTTTCCAATTTATTGGCTTAGAACATGTAAGCTGATTAGGAGTTCTGACTTTTACTTTTGTTCATGTCTGTTTCAATTTCTAAAGAAGCAATTCCCCATGGCGGTCACTAGATGGCAATATAGCACAGGGACTCCTGGAAATAAAGCTGGGACCGGGTCACTTTAAGAAGATGCAATGGATGGGGTTTTCTCATCCTTATTGAGACCAGGGCTTGGTAAATTCTTCCAAACCCTTTCATGCCCCAACAGTAAAAAAAAAAAAAGTTTACACTAATGCAATAAAACCGTGGGAACGCAAACTATGTATTGAAATGCTGGAAGGCTGTCGATGGGGCTCCGTGTCACTGGGGGGGATGGGATTTCTGGAGGGATCAGGGGACCATGCCCCAGACCATATTATTAATCCTTTCCTTTGCCTTTCACACAATGTTTTAAATATTTTATACTTTTTTTTTAAATGTAAGAGCCTCTCACTGCTTGGTTTTCTTGTCCGGGTGTTGCCCTACAGCCACCCATAGCCTTCTGGGGCAGGTTCTTACAGATGGCTCCCTGATGACGCACCGCAGTACATGATTTAATGCTGCACTTAGATGGTGCCCTCTTCTGTGTGTTTTCATGTGAATGGGACAGCTGACTCCCGATGATATGAGGAGAAGATGTGACACTGGGGCAGGCATGCAGCTGTGAAGGGGCAGATTGGCTTCTAAAGACACGCAAAATGTGCATTGAGTGCAAGTAAATACACGTGTGGGGCTATGGTGCACTGCATTTTAACAAACACTTTTGTTTTTACTTCTTGGAACATGCAAAGGGTCTAGGGCAATGGTCTCCAAACTACAGCCCAGGGGCCAGATGTGGCCCTTTGCAAGCCTTTATCCTGCCCTTGGGGCACTATTCCTCCCAATGATATGAAGTCGTATTCCTCCCACTGACCCCAACAACGGGGCATGATTTTTTTTCCAATGATAACATTTATGGGGGTACTATTCCTCCCATTAATACCAATTATGGGCACTACTCTTCCTTCTACTGACCACCATCCCTGAGGCCACGTTTAATTTCACTGATGCTGGGCCTGGGACATTTTCTACCCCCACTGGGCACACTCTGGGGCACTTTTTCTCCTACTGATATAAGACTCTATTCCTCTCTCCTACACCAACAAGGGGGGATAATTCCTGCTACTGACATCAACAACAGGCACTATTCCTCCCATTTACACCAACAATTGGGCACTGTTCCTCCCATTTACGCCAACAATTGGGCACTATTCCTCCCATTTACGCCAACAATTGGGCACTGTTCCTCCCATTTACACCAACAATTGGGCACTGTTCCTCCCATTTACACCAACAATTGGGCACTGTTCCTCCCATTTACACCAACAATGGGGCACTGTTCCTCCCATTTACACCAACAATTGGGCACTGTTCCATTTACACCAACAATTGGGCACTATTCCTCCCATTTACACCAACAATTGGGCACTATTCCTCCCATTTACACCAACAATTGGGCACTGTTCCTCCCATTTACACCAACAATTGGGCACTGTTCCTCTCATTTACACCAACAATTGAGCACTGTTCCTCCCATTTACACCAACAATTGGGCACTATTCCTCCCATTTACACCAACAATTGGGCACTGTTCCTCCCATTTACACCAACAATTGGGCACTGTTCCTCCCATTTACACCAACAATTGGGCACTGTTCCTCCCCATTTACACCAACAATTGGGCACTATTCCTCCCATTTACACCAACAATTGGGCACTGTTCCTCCCATTTACACCAACAATTGGGCACTGTTCCTCCCATTTACACCAACAATTGGCACTGTTCCTCCCATTTACACCAACAATTGGGCACTGTTCCTCCCATTTACACCAACAATTGAGCACTGTTCCTCCCATTTACACCAACAATTGGGCACTATTCCTCCCATTTACACCAACAATTGGGCACTGTTCCTCCATTTACCCTCCCATTTACACCTAACAATTGAGCACTGTTCCTCCCATTTACAATTGGGCACTATTCCTCCCATTTACACCAACAATTGGGCACTATTCCTCCCATTTACACCAACAATTGGGCACTGTTCCATTTACACCAACAATTGGGCACTATTCCTCCCATTTACACCAACAATTGGGCACTATTCCTCCCATTTACATTTACCATTTACACCAACAATTGGGCACTATTCCTCCCATTTACACCAACAATTGGGCACTATTCCTCCCATTTACACCAACAATTGGGCACTATTCCTCCCATTTACACCAACAATTGGGCACTATTCCTCCCATTTTTGGGCACACACAACAATTGGGCACTATTCCTCCCATTTACACCAACAATTGGGCACTATTCCTCCCATTTACACATCAACAATTGGGCACTATTCCTCCATTTACATCCAACAATTGGGCACTATTCCTCCCATTTACCCAACAATTGGGCACTATTCCATTTACACCAACAATTGGGCACTATTCCTTCCATTTACATCAACAATTGGGCACTATTCCTCCATTTACACCAACAATTGGGCACTATTCCTCCATTTACACCAACAATTGGGCACTATTCCTCCCATTTACACCAACAATTGGGCACTGTTCCTCCCATTTACATCAACAATTGGGCACTGTTCCTCCATTTACATCAACAATTGAGCACTATTCCTCCCATTTACACCAACAATTGGGCACTATTCCTCCCATTTACGCCAACAATTGGGCACTATGCCTCCCATTTACATCAACAATTGAGCACTTTTCCTCCCATTTACACCAGTAATTGGGCACTATTCCTCCCATTTACACCAACAATTGGGCACTATTGGGAACCATGAGGCAATATTATTCCCACTGACACTAACAACGGGGCACTGTTCCTCCCACTGACACCAACGATGGGGATTTCTCCAACTTACACCAAGAATAGGGCACTATTCCTCCCTCTAATGCCAAAGATGTGTTGTTTAATCCCAATGACGCAGGACAATTTTTACTCCCAATGGCCACAGTCCAGCCCCCCTAAAGTCTGAGAGCCAGTAAATTGGCCCTTTGTTTATAAAGTTTGGAGACCCTTGGTCTAGGGCAGGGGTCTCCAACGTGCATCCCAGGGGCCGAATGTGGCTATTTGATAGCCTTTATCCAGCCCTTGGGGCACTATTCGTCTCAATGATATGAAGCAGTATTCCTCCCACTGACCCCAACAACGGGGTACAAATTCTTCCACTGATAACACTTATGGGGTACTATTCCTCCCATTAATACCAATTATGGGCACTACTCTTCCTCCTACTGACCACCATCCCTGAGGCCACGTTTATTCTCACTGATGCTGGGCCTGAAATATTTTCTACCCCTACTGGCCACACTCTAGCCCTCTTAAAGTCTGAAGGACCATAAACAGGCCCTTTGTTTGAAAAGTTTGGAGACCCCTGGCCTAAGGTACAGCAAAGGAGCCAAGCTGTTCCTGTGCGTTGAAGTGTGTTGTGCAGCACTGAAAACTGTAGGGCTTGCACTTCAAATCATATCAGCTCAGTGCACCAGTGGGAACTGCTCCCATTACCATTCCTTATTTTTTACAGGTCCTTGTGTTGACATGCCCTGAAAAAACGTGTGCCAACAAGTCGGGTGTGAATAGACCCTTACTGCAAAAAAATCTGGATGCGCTCGGCATGTGAGTATGTTTATCCGCTTCCGATATACTGCTACAGGGTGGCACAGGTGCGCAAAATCATGTAATTGGCATCATAGTTAGACCTCAACTATGAGAGACAAAATGAGAAAAAAAATCCAGACAATCACATTGGCTGATTTGGAAAGGATTTATTTGCAAATTATGGTGGAAAATGGAAGTTGCACAACTTTGGGGTCACAGCAGTCTGAACTGAGCCTAACACCATGCAGGGGGCCCTTGAAGAGGGTCTTAAAAGCGGAGTTCTGGTCCCTGCCACCTACCGAAAAAAAAAAAAATAAAAGTCGGTAGCTACAAATACTGTGGCTACTGACTTTTAATATTAGGCCACTTACCTGTCCAGGCATCCAGCAGTGTCCTCACGTCGAGCCAATTCTTCAATCAGCTGCCGGGTGCTGGTGCCGCCATCTTGACTAAGGGATGAAGCCTTTTGGAGGCGAAGCGCACTGTGCATTGTAAATGGGCTGCAGTCCTCTGGGACCTTGCAAGTGTCCCAGAGGGCTGCAGAGGGTGCCTTCTTCTGGCTCAGTTCTCTGCGGTGAAGTGGGAGTGGGTACCTGTCAAAGCCAGGCATCTGCTCCCCCCTAAAAGGTGCCAAATGTAGCGGCAGAAAAGCGATGCTTCCACTTTTGGAAGGAACTCCGCTTTAACCCAGGGCTTCCCTAATATGTGACCACTGTAATTGGCTGTTGCAGCGCTCACATGATTGGGAGTTCCCAGTCGTATACAATGACTAGGAGCTGTCTAAGACAGCACGGTCACTGTGCTGGGAGCATGCAGTGTGTGCACTTTCAGCACAGAACAGCAGTTCCCTCTGGACATATGAGTACATCAGCTGGGCATTAAAGTGGCCACAAACCCTTACATATACCTTGTGAAGTGACTGGTCTCAAGTGATACACAGAGATGAAACAACTCCACCTACATAAGTTATACCTATTTTCAGCCATCTCTTCTCTATATCCGTTCAAAGTCTAGAATTTTACAACTTGTCTGAGAGTTCAGAAAAAAGGGGGCGGAGAGCTGTAGTTACAATCTGCAGAGCTCAGTGAGGAGACCTCTGATTGCTGATTGGAGGGAAGAGACACACACCCCTCTACACAATTCAGAGGATCAGAGTTTAGGCTGTCAATCAGCTCACCTGTCACCATTGTTCTCTTGGTGTCAGGAAAACTTGTCAGAAGTGATTAATGTAGAGGAATGAGGCAGCGAACACAAATGGCACTTAGTGCTCTAGATTGAGACAAGTACACACTATAGAAGGGTATGCTTTGTTCATATGTCATATATGAGGTTTACATTCACTTTAAGGCCCACAGATCTGATGTCTGTCTGGCCGGAATAGGTTAAGTATATGCACATTAGACCAGGGGTGGACTTACCATTCGGATACTCGAGCACTGCTCGAGGGCCCGGGGTCAGTAGGGGGCCCCATGAGATGTCCCTGGTACCTTTCATAGGCTTTTTTGGGTGTGGTTTGAGTGTGGCGAGGACACAGGGGCCCCATGATCCCCTATTGCCTTTGGTTCCCCATGAGATGTCTCTGGTACCTTTCATAGGCTTTTTTGGGTGTGGTTTGAGTGTGGGCAAGGACACAGGGGCCCCATGATCCCCTACTGCCCGGGGCCCCATGAGTTGTCAGTCCGCCCCTGCATTTGACACATCCTTTTAGTAGATCTAAAGGAGATTGTACAGAGTTTATACAGTCAAATGGTATGGAGAGTGTAACTTGCAGTGCAGTGGACCTCTACGTGTTTTCACCTGCTTTGGATTTGGTAGGGGCCCCGGTGGGTCTGTTGATTGAGTTCTCTGTAACATGGCAGCTGTGAGAAGTCATAAAGCAGATGATGCGGACTGTTTATGTGGAGCAGAGTGAGTCATGTTTACTGCTTATCACTTGCAGGCTATGTCATAGTATTCACTGGCTTCCTACGCCTAGCAGTGAAGAACAAGTAGACACCAGTCATCAGCAGTGGAGTTTCAGTGGAAATCCGTCACCTTGTAGTCATAACACAAGCCGGGATCACCGATAGCAAATGCTATGTGTAAAATGACGAGGTTCCATGAGTTTCGTTTAACTTCATAGGAGAAGAGGGAACAAGTACTCAAAATTATTTAAAAAAAACCCCAAAAAACAAGTAAATTTGTGGAAAAACAACCAGTGCAATATCAACAGGAGAACCTAGCCCATAGCCCCGAGGGGCCACCTCTAACCCTGATGCAAGAATATGTGTTTTTAACCTTGATGGTACACAACAAAAAAGTTTAAAATATACACAGTTTGTTGGACATACATTAAAAACCACACCCACAAGTGTAGTAACAATAAAAATACATATGGAATGCTCATTGATCCCACCTTGAATTCTTGATCTTGCTCTTAGATCTGCTCATTTCCCAATTGGCCGATGCATGACATTGTATGATAAGGGGTTCACCGTTGTTTTCTATTGTGTTCAATCTCACCTGTGCGTTTCTCTTCCGTGCGTCACACCTGTGAGTTTTGGAGGGGGGGGGGGGAAGTACAGGTGCTTCAATATGGGAAAATGCAGATGCATAAGTTTGAACCAAGCCTAAGCCTTCAACAAATGTATGGTTTTAAATGGACCACTTCTGACCGGGCCAATTCAGACATTTCTTGCATATATGTAAAAATCAATGTTTTTTTGGTGGAAAATTACTTGGAACCCCCAAACATTATATATTGTTTTGTAGCAGAGGCCCTGGAGAATAAAATTGTGGTCACTGCAATTTTTTATGTTTTGCGCAGCAATTTTCAAACACAATTTTTTGGAAAAAATAGACTTTAATAAAGAAAAAAAAAAACAAACACAATATTTAACAAATTTTTTTTGTAAAATTTGAAAGATTATGTTACGCCATGCTTTACACTTCTGCATCCGACACTTTGCATTGCACTTGGTGATGTAAGGTTTGGATGCAGCTGGTCGGCCATGGAAACCCATTCCATGAAGGTCTCTACGCACTGTTGTTGTGCTCATCTGAAGGCCACATGGAGGTCTTTAGCTATTGACTCTGCAGACAGTTGGTGACTTCTGCGCACTGTGTGCTTCAGCATGCGCTGACCCCGCTCTGTCATTTTACGTGGCCTACCACTTGGTGGCTGAGTTGCTGTTGCTTCCACTTTGTTATAATCCCACTAACAATGGACCGTGGAATATTTAGTAGCCAGGAAATGTCACGGATGAACTTATTGTACAGGTGACAACCTATCACGGGACCACGCTTGGAGTCACTGAGCTCCTGAGAGCGACCCATTCTTTTACAACTGCTTGTAGAAGCAGTCTGCATGCCTAGGTGATGATTTTATACACCTGGGGCCATGGAGGTGATTGGAACACCTGAATCACATGATTTGGAGGGCTGGCCCAATACTTTTGGCAATATAGTGTATATGTAATGCACTCGTAAATTGATGGCGCCTGTAATAAATATTCCTCCACTACTGACACCAACAGTGTGGCTCTATTTCTCCCACTGGCACCAGTTATTTTTACCCCGAATACCAAAGATGGAGTATTGTTTACTCCCTCTCGGCACAGTAAAGTCTGACGGACAGTAAATTGGCCTGTTGTTTAGAAACCTCTGCTCTAAAATATTATGCAAGATGTGTATTTCTCATTCAAACCTAGTTTAGATTTTATGTAATGGGCAAAAAATAATTATTGATAATAATTTATGAGGATAGGCATAATGGAGATCAAAGCAGTTAACAGAACAGATTGTTAGGACCATCAAGGGAAAGTCATGGCGGTACACTTTGTTCCCCACCTTCCACAGCTCATGCGTACTTCTTTGCAGGCATACCACAGGACATGGGGGTGCAAGAAATTTTTTCAAAATGGGAGGACAGTTGAGTTAGAAGGATACTTGGCACTATATGAGTTAACCTCTTGCTCTGCTGTTTAAATATTATGCAAGGTTGCCGTTCCTAAACGGCACCCGCCTTTTCTATTTCTCCCTAGGAGCGCACCACCTAGCAATTTAGGTTTTGTGTAACCGGACACAGTGAAAAAACGGGACCTCTGTACGAGGTTATTGATTGGCGAATCAGTGATCACATGCAAAGTTATTGTGACATCATTGCTTACTACGTGTGAAATCTGTGAATGATCACAGAGGTCACATGGACAAGGCTCACAACAGCCTTGTACCATGTGACAAGCTGTGACCAATCACAGCTCACTCAGTATTTCTCAATGACTGCAAGAATGCAGACCTTTTCAATGGAAAAGCAATCAGTCAAAAAAAAAAAAAATCTTCATCACCCCCACAAGTAGTACAGTTCCCCACCTTCAGTATGTAAAAAATAAAAAATAAAAATAAAAATAAAAAAATAATATAAAAAAAAAATAAAATAAAAATGTAAAAAAAAATGTTTAAAAATTATAATGTTTGGTTATAAACTAATTTGGATACTAAAAAAATAACTTTGCAGGCATACAAAATTGTATAAAAAAAAAACACTTTTTTTTTCAAAATTTTTGGACTTTTTTTCATTTACATAGTAAAAAAAAATAAAAATCCCAGCGGTGATTATCTGTCTCAAAAAATGGTAAAAAAATTCAATGGGTACAGTATTGCATGACCGCGCAATTGTCATTCAAAGTGTGATAGCGCTGAAGCTGAAAATTGGCCTGGATAAAAGTGTCCGGACAGGAAGTGGTTAATTTTCTTTTAACTTACAATTATATTTCTCTTTTGTGGTTAAGCACAGTTAGCTATTACAACATTACAATCTGATGGTGCAATCGTAGATCTATAAAGAGCCATGTGAGGCCCTGCCTGATTGGATACAAACTGAATCTGCTCTTTCAGACACACTCCTCCAATGGTCAATCCAAAGGAATCATATATAGAACAAGAAATTGTATCATACGCATATGGCTACTGTAGCTTCAGAGCTTGTTGGGAGTATCAAGGTAGATGTGTAAAAGGTCTTATGACCTGAATTTTCTGCCCCAGGTTCATTCCAATACGATAAGAGAAAATTTTTCTATTTTAACGATTTCTACATAACTGCTGCTCACTTTAAACTACACCCACTTTTCCACCGCATGTTATGTGCACCAACCATGACACATCTACCTTGGGAGGACTGGTTTTGCTAAATTTGTAAAGTGTCAACCCTACACTCCAGTCATGCAATTAACCACTTGTTTATAAACGGCAGGACGGTGGCACTCCAGGGGCAGGTTGCCGTTCATAAACGGCACCCGCATTTTCTAGGTGTGTGCGCACTCCCGGGGAGCGCGCAGCACCGCGATCTGGTGCCCGCTGTTTCCTCTGGACACAGTGGAACACCGATCGTCGGACGGGACCTCTGTGCGAGGTCCCGATCATGTGATCACTTGTTGGCCAATCAGTGATCACATGCAGAGTAGTAAGCAAGATGTCACTTGTGACATCATTGCTTACTACGTGTGAAATCTGTGAATGATCACAGAGGTCACATGGTGTAAGGCTATGCACAACAGCCTTGTACCATGTGACAAGCTGTGACCAATCACAGCTCACACAGTAGTTCTCAATGGCTGCAAGAATGCAGCCAGAGAGAAGGAGAAATGATTGCTTTTACAGCCTATATGGGTGTAAAAGCAATCAGTGTAAAAAAAAAAAAAAAAAAATCTTCATCACCCCCCACAAGTGGTACAGTATGGTGACAGTATGTAAAAAAAAAAAAAAAAAAGCATAAATAATAATATAACAAAATAAAAAAAATGTAAAAAAAAATGTTTAAAAATTATAATTTTTGGTTATAAACTAATTTGGGTTTTTTTTTTTACTAAAAAGATAACTGAATACATTTTGGCCAAGATGATGATGAAATACTATTTATTTGCAAAATTTTATAAGAAAAACACATTTTTTCTAAATTTTTGGACATTTTCATTTACAGTTGTGGCCAAAATTATTCAACCCCCAATGCTGTAAAGGGGTTTAGGGACTATAGTGTACATTTGGAATTGTATTCAGAATCAAATCCTACAAGGACGTTGTAACTACCCAAATGCAACTAAAATGACATCAATTGTTTATGTAATACAGTAGTAAATGGTTCTTATGTGGTTTCTTCATTGCCACAATTATTCAACCCCTTAAAGACTACCACTCTGAAGAACAGAGGTTCATACAGGTGCTTTCCATCAGGTATTGAAAACACCTGTGGATGTCACCGAGCAGCAATCAAGCATAATAAGCACCAATTAGGCAGCTTTAAAATGACTGTGATACTCAGCTCCTTCTAGACATTTACTGGTGTGGTTACAAACATGGTGAAGGCAAGAGAATGGTCCAGGAAGACAAGAGAAGAGGTGATTTCTCTTCACAGGAAGGGCAATGGCTATAAGAAGATTGCAAAGATGTTAAACATACCAAGAGACACCTTAGGAAGCATCATTCGCAAATTCAAGGCAAAGGGCACTGTTGAAACGCTACCTGGTCGTGGCAGAAAGAAGATGCTGACTTCGACTGCTGTGCGCTACCTGAAGCGTAGAGTGGAGA